AAGCATGAGGGGACTTTTCTCAAGTTTCATCCTGAGACCCTGATGAGTCTCCTGTAGATGAACAAAAGTGTAGTGCGCCCCAGGAGTGTACTACCCCACTCCCAGAAGCTTTCATTCCTGAGGTCGTTCACCCTGGGCCGCCAACCACTTGTCACTTACAGTTGCGCTGTTCCCACCGGAAGGGCTCCCTGCCGTGGCCTCCTCGTACTCCTGGTCGGCGATCCTCTGCATTTGCCTGGCTCTCCAATTCTCAGAGCAACCGTTGCCCTGTGACCCCAGTTCTCTGAGGGATCTAGGGAGACTTGTTGATTTTTAGTTTGTTCAACCTTTTCCGTACTGATACAGCGATTTAGGAAGGGAATAGAATGGTAGGGGGAACATAACGTGAGGGACAGCCAGGAGAGGCCGGAAGCTCCCCTACAAAGGCAGGCGCCCGCAGCTCCACCTTCCTTCGGCCGCCCCACTGCTGCCGCCGCTTCAGCCTCCGGAATGGTGGCTTCCCACTCCGTTCATTAGAATCTGCTGGGAAGCCTTTGCAACTCCCTGCACCTAGGTCTCCCCTAATTAGAAGCACCGGAGGAGGTCTAACGCGCAATTGCTGTTGAAAACCAGGGGTCTAGACTTGGGCTACTCAAGAGGGGCTCACTGATCATTGGCATTGGCACCACCTGGGCTTGTTAGAAAGGCAGCATCTTGGGCCCTAGCCCAGATCTACTGCCAAATGCGAATTTGCCCTGTGATAAGGCCCACAGGTGATTTCTATGCACACGAACATTTGAGAAGCACTGACCAGAAGATCTTCCTATCCCTTTGGCCCCAGAAAGCATAGAGCTAGCTCCCTGGAAAGTACTCTGCGAGCCAGACCCCCTGGTGACCCCATGACGACAGTGGAGAAGTCTGAAGCAGCCAGTGTAGCTGGTGTACCTGCTGTGATTTCCCAGGGGCACTACTTGTGAAATGGAGAGAATTTGATCATCCCGTAGCAGTAGGGGCCTTTCATCTGAAGCAGTGCTGGGTTCAATTGGTTTCAGGGTTCAAAGACTCAAAAACACTCTGATTAAACATTATAATTGAAAAGTTGAAGAACAGTCCCAAACACCAGCTCCCCCTGAACTGCATGGATACAGTCACTTGTCCCTGGCTGTTTCCATAAGTTCTTACCGCCACCCTCCCTACGAGATGTCAGAACTCTGTGAAATAAAATAATAACAGGCACGTGTCAGGCACCTTGCTGCTCACCAGGACAGGTGCATAAAGCACAGCTCGGGTGCAGCGGCTAAGAACTTCGGCTCTGCAGCCACACAGCCTGAATTCCAACCTCAGCTCTGCCACTTACTAGCTGGTAACTCTGGGCAAGTCAGCTGACCTCCTCGGGGTCCTCCCTCATAAAGCTCGGGTAGTGCAGGGGCTCTGCAAAGCTCGGTGTGAGATTTTCTCCTTAAATGTTTCAGAGAAACAAAAAGGAGAGAGAGAGACAGATGAAAGAAGATTGTCAAAATATTAGTCATTGTGGGGCTGAGGGATGAGAATGTGGGGGTTCTTTATGCCACTCTCTCTACTTTTGTGTTTGAAATTTTCCATAATAAAAGAGTTTAAAGTTTCGTTTGTGTTTTTCAACTGTGTATTAGTACTTATGACCATGGCAGAAACCCAATTCAAACTTGCTTAAGCCAAAGGAGGCATTTGTTGTACCTGGGCTGTGAAACAGACCAGAGGGCAGGGCGGATCGGTCCTGGGAGACTGCACTCACTGTCCACACACCACCTCGGAGATTCTTCTCTATTGCTGTTGGCGCATTCACTTCTTTGGCTGATACCGACTTGTTCATGTGGCAGGGCAGAAAACTGCCCATGCCTAGCAGGTCCATATTCTTGGGTTTGGGATCGGAGAGGAACAAGAGGTCCTTATCGCCTGACAGCAATTTGAATAGCCCCAGGAACCCTGACTGGCCTCGTTTAGGTCATGTATTCACTCCCTGAATCAATAATTGTGGATGCAGCTATGAGTCTGTAACTGGCCCGCCCGGGGTCACCTGACCATCTCGGTAGCCAGAAGGGCTGTTTTTTGGAGACTGGAGAAAGAAGGGCTGAGCAGACAGAAACAATAGCCACCCTTACAAGGTCCTTTGCACTAGCTCTTAGATTACAAGCAGTCGTTGATCACAGATCGTGACTTTTTCCTTCCCAGTTCTTTTCTTTCTTTTCCATTTTTATTTTAAAGTTTATAGAGCTGATTGCAAGGCTCGTTGAAAAAAAAATTAGTAGTTCCTATCTCTCCCCCCATTTTCCTTCCTTGACAGCAACTAGTTTCAACCCTCTGAACTGGTTCTTTGAGTCCCACTTCCACATATCTAAATGATATCCTTCTATTGCTACATTTGATTTTTTAGCTTTGGGCATTGTCCATGGATTACCATCATGGGAGGTGATCCTGATGTCTTTCACACACACACCCACCCCACTTATTTATCCTTCCTATGCCCCCAAGCTCCCAACAGTATCATATTGATTCGATCAATATTTAACCCTTCCATGTTAGACTGTTCATGACTAACACAGCACAAGTATGACTATGTAAACACTGTCTCCAGCTCAGCCACAGCTGTAAAACTTTTCTCCTTTGAGTCGTTTTTCCCATTGACACTCAGTCCCAGTTCTCCTGTGGTCTCCTTTCCCTCTGACAAGACACATTCGGATGTGTGTGGCATTCTACACGTTTGCTGTGCTGAAGACAACTCCGAGGCTGGCCGACGCCTGCGACCTGAGCTGGTGGCCCCCGTTAGTGCCCAGCCCGCATCCTGGCGTTTCCCTTCACCACCACAGTAGGGACCCTCTGTCCTCGTTTCCTGCAGAAGTGGTATTCCAACAGCAATGAGTGAGACTACCTGTAAACTGGAATAATAACCTAAATAGAAAGTACTTAATAGCCATTAAAACTAACTTAAGTCGCAGGTGAAAGTATTGCAATGAAACTTACCTGTTCTGTGTAGCTCCTTAAAACATACTAATTGAAAATCTCTAAAAGATGGGAACAAAGTCCGCTTAGGCAGATACATTTGTGAAATTTTCTTGGTCCAAGTTGTTTTTTTTTTTTTTTTTTTCAGTATCCACCCACGGTTGAAGTGGAAACTTGGAAGCATCTGTGAGATGACACATAATTCTCTATTTCACAGTGGCATTCCTGTAATGACTTGAAATACTGAAGAGTTAGAATGATATATGGCTCCCTGATTCATTTCAACTTTTTAAAACTTTAGGATTGTTGCATTAAAATGTTCATGAAAAAAATTTTATATGGAGTTTGTCTCACCGGCATATATTTTTGCTTAACAGAATTAACACATAGGTCTGAACTTGAGACTTTGCCACTGTGATATCTGGTTAACAGTACTCCCCAAATTCATTTGTTTTTATTGCATTTTATAAAATAGTTCTAAATAAGGCAGCAATTTGGTTGAAAATAAGTTTAGGGGGATCTATAGTTATGGAAATGTATCAACTTGAGTCATTATTCAGAAAATATAGTTTGCCAACAATGTAAAAAGAACATGTAAGGCAGAGCATATAAAATATTCCTGAACTTCTGACCACAGCGTTTTCCCCTCTAAAGGTGTGCATGCTTATTGCAATATTTGGTGCTTTCTAAATGCTAAATTGGTCAAATGTTTACGATGCTGAAGAAATAATTTTTGGGAAAGATATCCTAACAGTGGTTCTCAACGTGTGGTCCAGAACAGCATCAGCCTCACCTAGGAACTTTGTTAAAGATGCAAATTTCCTTCTCCCCATGTCCATCCAACTTAGTAAGAAAGTTGGGGGGGGGAGGGAAAGGCGAACAATCTTTGTGTTTAATGAGCCAAGTGATTCTGATGCAGGCTCAAGTGTGAAAACCGTTGTCCTAGAAAAACATCGTGTAAGTTAGGGATTATGTTCTGCTGTCAGTCATAGAGAGCTGAAGTAACAGTAGTTTAACGTATGTGTCCATTTTTTTCCTCCCATAAAAGAAGCTAGGAAATAAGTAGTCTTGAATTGTTCAAACGTTGTATTTTTACTCTGTTCTTACCATATAATGTCCATCCTCATGGTTTCAAAATGGCTGCTGAAACTCCAGCCATTACAAACACATTCCAGGCAGCAGGAAAAAAGTAAGGGAGATGGGTGGAAGACAGGCTAGGTAACCCATGTTTTAAGTGCATTGTCAGATGCCCCATCCAATGACCTGCTTTTTCTTCACCACCCCTAGTTGAAATGAAGGCTGAGAATTAATAGTGGGTTATATTGTTGCCCAGAATAAAAACACAAAAGCCAAGGAGCATGGATACTAGTAAAAACTAGCAACTTTTAGATCCTTCCTGGAATGGAGTCAGTGATCAAAGTTACACTTTTGAGCATATTATTCTGAAAGAGCTCTACAGTAACCATACATTAAACACATTCTTTGATCTGTTAGAAGTATGGCTACATTCTTACTTTAGGCAAAGGTCTTTCTCACTTGAAAATTGTAACAGCCATTTATCAGAATAAATAAATACAATTCATTTGCCATAGGTTGAGGCTGTGGTTGATTAATACCAAGTGTCCTATGTAATTCTTTGAGTACATGATTTGTAACGTACATGAAAAGCAATCAGTAAAAAATAAAATAAAATAAAAATGCATTCTTTTCAGGATTGTAATCCCTGAAAAGGATTGTAATCTTGAAAATGCATCATAAGGAATTGATTCAAAGACAGAAGAAGCTTGATGTATAAAGCTGCTGACAGCATTGTTATTTATGACAACAAAACAAAAAACCAGTAGCTTAAAATTCGGAGTGGATTACTGTATGACCGGTAGATAGTCATCAAGTCATGGAGCAACACGAGAAAGTGGCTGCGAGTGTACAGGCAGCAGAAGAGAGACGAGAAAATGAATGTGGATGTGGATAAGATTCAAAGAGCATTCAGAGAACTAGAATGTGTTTGTCAGGATGTGAGAATTATGAATACAAAGGGTTTCTGTTTAAATTTCCTTTATTGTTCTATGAGAAACAACAGCAGCAGCAACAATAAAAAAGTAAAATAAATTTACGCAGATCACTGACCGTGACTTTTTCTCAGATTCTATTTGTTCTCTGCATCATAAATTCCTGGGGGTTGGTTTTTGGAGCACAATTTATTTTACAATGCTGGAGAATTAACATCTGGTAGCAGCAAACACAAAATGCAATACCAATCTATTTGAAACTCACATAATGAGAAATGTCTTTTGAAAATGGCAACATACACACAGTGGGAGACAGGGATCAGTTGATAAAAACGTTTTAAAAAGTCACAATGCTCATTCCGTCTCCATCAACTACAACAAAAACAGCTGTAACGTGCTTCAGGTACACACACTTTACACTCCCAAAGAAGATTGTCATTTCATAGCATATATCTTAAATAGTCACATTCTGGAAGGCAAGAGAAATATTCAGATTTAACTCTGCAAATTTAAACATTTATATAAATATTTCACTTAAAATAACCAAAACATTAAGAACAGCAGCAACATGTTTTTTTTTTTACTATATTACAGTAGTTTGTTCACATAATATGTATAATTTTGTAGCTCTTTCATTATTAATATATATCATCTCATACAATGTAGAAACTCCAAGGTCCTGGTTTCATCACCAAATAACTTAGAGTGTAGATTCTGTAAATACTGTCCAAAGAATAATTATAAAATACACACAGCAGAACATTCTCCAGACCAGAGGGAATCATGCCAAAAGGTTTTCGGGAAGGATTAGGTTGGAAGGCGTTAGGTTGGAAGGCGTGCAGGGAATCTGCAGGATTCCCGAGGCAAAAGCCGTTCTGACCAGCTCCCTGCAAGGCCGGGCACTGAGTCCGAGAAATGTGTCTGTGGGTGGGGGAGAGAAGGCGCCGCTGCCTCTTCATGGTTCCATGTGTCGTTTGAAGATGCAATTAGACTGATTAATAACTGGCAAACTTCTCAGTAAACAAGCAATAGAATCATTCCCCATCAGAAGCAACACACTGGACCACGAGGTGCACGTCTATTTTTCGGCATTCGCAATCACTCTGATGACCAAAGGCATAAAATCCCAGATTTCAGCAGGACCCAGTGTGCTCAAGCCTGCACGGCAGGAAAAGAACTTCCACCTCCTTCCTCGTCTAAGCCACGGGACCAACTTGCCAATCCCACTGGTTTAGGGAGAACCCCGGTGTGGAGGCTGGAGTTTCCTCATGCTGAGATTTCCTTACGGGAGTTGCTCCTGCAATTGTAGTTTCTTCTTATGTTTCAAAGGCTTTTCAGAAAAGGTAAATGGTGAAGTCTCACGATGGTGCTGGATCTACGTTAGCCTTATTGTAAGACTGTTCTCTGACATTTCGATGGTTTGTCCCTATTTTAAAAACACTTCATACACTATTCAAGTGATTCTCCCTCTCCCATACACACACACACACACACACACACACACACACACACACACACACCCTCGTGAAGAAACCAGGCTGGGCAGCCAAGTGCTCAGTCTGAAGGCCAGGAGAGCGCGCTCCTGCAGACCAAAGCAACAGCTGGCCCTGGCCACGCACAGTGACAACCCCGGGAAGTATTTCTGCAGGACTCAGCTCTACCCGACCAACAATTCCTTATTTTTAAGAACAAGGACTTGGTAATCGTTGTTTTCTGAAGAATAAAGTAATTTGAAGGGGGCAGGAAAACAGAAGCAAAAAAAAACGAGTTCAAGAGAAGAAAGGGAGATGATGGTGCTGCTTGGCAGTTGGTATCGGAAACTTTAGAACAAGCAAAGTCCGTTTCACAGACATTTAGGTCACAGAGGTTTTAAAAAGTACCTGAAAACTTCAGTCTTCCAGGGAGTCTCGCACTGGATGGATCACTGTGGAATGAGCATAATTTCATTTTGTGAAACTTACACAGGATGATGATCTATGAACCGGATGACTCAGGGTCAATGTCCTGGAATATAACACCTTGAGTATCAATCAGTTCTCATTTTTAATCAGTAAATGTGCTTTAAGAAACAGCTGAATTAAAAAGGAGGCCGTCAGGACACCGCTGTGTAACATGATGCCACAGTCATACAAATCCCTTCGTTCCTCTTCAGGCACCATGTGTCCAGACCCCCCTACCTACCCCACCACCTCCCTGAGATTCAGACACTGTGACTGCCACCCCCACAGAGTCTCCCGACCCTGAACAGAATGGGTGAGGCACCCATAGGTAACTCATGCTTTGGCAAGCAGGAAACTGGAAAATTCTTTGAGCTCTTTCTGAGGTAGTGAAGTCTTTCCTTCTAATATTCTACTGGTTAGAGGAAGTCGAAAGGGTTGAATTGCAAGGCGAGTGGAGTGCTGGTCACTGTCCTGCACTATTGTTCTGAAATGGGTGGTTTATAGGGGTGATTACCACACACTCCAAAAGTTCCTCAGCAGGATCCGGATGGTTATGTGAACAACTTAAGATATTAAGGTTGCTGAATGAGGAGGGCAAGACACAGTCCCCTGAGGGCATTGTGTAACTCACTTAAAACTTGGATTTAATCGCCCTCTATTTCTACAAAAGTACCTGGCAAGCAGTAAAAGCTCAATAAATATCTGATGGCCGTTTAAGATCGATGATTTAGCTCAGTGAGATTACAGGCAGAGACAAAGCACTCAACCGGCTGCAGGCTATTCATCACCGGAGGCTAAATCACCTTCCCTTGTGCGTGGAATCTTAGGTACCTTTCAAACGATGAAAAGGTGAAGCTCGGCTGGTCCTGGGCACGGCAGAGTCTACTACTCAACATTAACTCCACCTCGTTTCCATCGTGATTTTATCATGTTGTGACTGTGGGATTTTTACCCACAAATAACTTTGTCGAAGACAAAGTGATCCACTCTTTCTGCTGTTCTTCAAGTTTTTCTGCCAAGCATTTAATCAAGACAGGGTCCACCTTGGAATCAAATTTATTAGCAAACCAATGTCCATCTTTGATAAGCCACCTTAACTCGGCTGCTCCAAAGATACACACACTTCGGAGGTGAGAGCCCGTACAACCGGGGTAGAGAAGGCCTTCGTGATAATTCCATTTGACAAGGCGAGTCTTACTCTGTAGGTCAGACACGTCCTGGGCGGATCGAGAAATCTCCCCAGGTATACCTGGTACCCGAACCAAGGTAGCCCAAAAGTGCTCGTCAGGTGAGTATGTGTCTTCAGACCAGGCAAAAAAGTCTTCCACGAGGGAGCTGTTGAAAATATATTGAACAAATGCTCGACTTAACACAAAATAAGCACTACCAACAAAAACCTCAATGTTATGAGGGGGTGCTGCTTTGGAGAGGTTTGTCCTGACCGGTAACTTCACATACTCATAAGGCACCTGTCTGAGTTCATGGTGGTAAGTGAATCTTTCCATTTTACTGTTAGTGGGTTTCACTGTCTCTAACATATTTGCTCCATTGAGTTTCTTCAGCTCTGACACTAATTCGAAGTTTGACTTCAAAGGAAAGTCTTGCCCACACAGGTTGATAACATACTTCCATTGTACTGAAGACTCAAGAAGGTCTGACAAACAATTTAAATCAGCTTGGAGTCTGGAAATGTGGGCATATTGCACCGTCTCTAATTTGGAAGCAATGAAAATATTGGAGAAGCACTTAGCTAAATTGTTCATGGCAACTTTAAAGGTGTCAGGTGACTTCAGGTCATAATGGATGCAGTAAATATTGTGCTGGTTGTATATAGCGTGGATCAGCCTTTCAACCATAATTGCATCTTTGTGAACAACCAAAGAATAGGCTATCGGAAAGCTTTTCTCCTCTCTTGAATCAAGCTTTTGATGGTACCTTCGTAGGGTCTGATAAATGTCACAATCGCTGGTCATCGCCACAACATCTTCATCATCCAAGTCGATGATATCTCTTCTTCTTATTTCCAGGGTCTTTCCAATTTCCAAAGGCTCCTGCTCATAGACACCGGAACAGCTGACTTCATACTGGACTTCATCCTTAATGTGGGTGTATCTGTTCCTCACAAAAGGCGAGGTGCTTAGGGAATATTCCACCAAGTAAATGCCTCTCTGAGGGAAGAGGAGTCTTCCTACATTTAGAAGCTTCAACAAGGAGAGCAGCCACAGGGTTAAAAACAGGATAAAAACCTTCTGCTGTAGGGGGTATTTAAAACAACATCTGAATATCTTCATTCTGCAAGAGGCAAAAGGAATAATTCCGTTGAAATTAGTTCAGTTCAACCAAAGCCCACTGGGTACCTACCCTATGCCGGCAGAATGCTGAGCCCAAAGATGAATTAAACAAAGTTCTTGCCCTTAGAGAATCCAGAAAAAAGGAAATGAAACTGTGTAGAATGGGGGTGTTTTATGGCATTCTGTTAGCTATCTAATTTTGAGAGATGTTGCTTACCAAATAGAATGAAAAATAATGTAAACTACAAGAAATATAGGTTCTATGTAACTTTCTATTGTCTGCTTAGCACATTTGGAGAGAGAGTACTGTGGTCTGGGCAGAAGACTACCGAAATGGATGTCACTAAGCGATCTTTGGAGATACAACGGCCAACCTGAGACTAAAAGAAATATGCGTCTTGATTCTACCTTCAGATCCTGTTCAGGTCTACGTCTGAAGCCAGATGGGGAAACCCAGGGCATCCCACTGCTGCTGTGGACTGAGTGGATCCCCTCCAAAATGCGTGTGTTTAATCCCTAAACGTGATGGTATTTGGAGGTGGGGTCTCTGGGTCACAAAGGTGAATAGGGCGTGAGGGTGGAGCCCTCGTGAATGGGATTAGTGCCTTCCTGAGGAGAGAGTGCAGAGAGCTCCCTCCTCCCTTCCACCCAGTGAGGACATAGCAAGAAGTCTGCAGTCTGCACCTGGTAGAGGGCCTTCCCCAGAACCCTGTCAACCTGATCTCGGACTTGCAGTCTCCAGAACTGTGAGGGATACTTTTCTGTTTACGAGCCACTGTCTAGGGTATTTCATGACAGCTGCCAGCAGAGACTAAGACCACCTCCGGAAAGAACGGCAGTGGGCAGACACCCAACGGAGCTATAGTAGGTATCAGAGACTGTAAAATTCTGTAAAGGTCATAGACGTTTGTTAATCCTACACATTCCTCTTTTTTAAAAAACTTTGTTAGCCTCCATTTCCTCACAGGTTTAGCAATGTAGCTCTTACTGAGAGGAGAACACGACTCTCTTGGAGGGCGGGGGAGAAAAACCACCAGGGGGCAGTCAGGCGCGATCTCCCAGTCTTAAAGGTGCCGGCCCAGGAGAGCTCAGGTGTGCGAGGGGGGTGTGTGCACGAGAAGGCTCCCTGCAGTGTTACTCATTCAGGCTAAAGACTGAAAAGCACTAAAACGTCCTTCGACGGGGGTGGATTAATTGCACCCATACTAGGTGAAAAATTCTGAGACAAATCTCGGTGTGCCTGCGTGGAACAATTTCCACGATACTTTGTGAACTGGAAATAAGCGAAATGCAGAACTGTGCGTAGGGTGCTCACATGCATCAAAAAAAAAAAAGACTATACACATGGGTGTCTACACACGAAGAGCACACGTTGGTGAAGCTTTCCTTTCTCTGTCACAACTACTCTGCTGTTGTAGTGGGAGAGCAGACAGTGTGTGAGTGAGTGGGCATGGCTGTGTTCCAATAAAACTTTATTTACAAAAACAGAAAACTGGCTGAATCTGACCGATGGGCCAGAATTCCCTGGGGGACGTTGTATAGACTCGACACTGGGAACAGGAGTTCTTTGCAATGCAGGGTGGGAGAAGGCTGAGGATTAGGGGCCTGGGAAGGAGGGAGATTTCTCATCACTGAACAGCCTTTTGAGCTACTTGAACTTAAACAATGACTATATTACTTTATTAGGTAGAGGCAGCCTAATAACGGGGAGAGCACAGATGTGCTTATCTGGGGAGCAGCAGGAGCCGGGGACCCAAGGAGTACCACCCCAAGGTTTGAGGACAGGAGCGCTGGCTGAGCTCCTAAGGCCGTTCCAGGAGGTCCAAATGCTGAAAACTGGGGAGGTCTGAGGGGCCCAAATGCAGTTTCCTAACACACCCCAATAAATCTTAAATGGGAGTGCAAACTTGTCCCAGTTTCCTTAGAATTAGCAAGAACTTTTCGAACCAGATTTATTTTGCAAGATTGTATAGCTCTGCTGGGAATGACATACACTCATTTGCCTTCACCTGATTCACTCTCCCTTCAAGGACACCTTATGGACAGCGAGCTGTCCTGCAGAATCTGTGTCCTCTCTGGCCACATCCCAGTGTCTCCCTGGGGTCCTGCTGTCAGCTCACTGCTCTTTTCATCACACTCCTCCTGGGTCTTTGGACTTCAACTTCCACGTACACATCATCAACAGCTTTACCTCTAACCCTCACCTCTTGCCCAAGCTTCCAAAGTGAACATCCAACTGTCTGATGGACTTGTCCATCAGAAGTCTTACAGTTGCTCAACTTCAGCAAGTCCAGAGCTGAACCTGACATCTCCACTTCTCCTGCATCTTCTGGCTCAATTCATAGTGAGCCCATCCACTCAAGGACCCAAGGTGGAGACTCAAGGGCCATCCGACTCTTCCATGGTCCCCACACCCACCTTAACAAACCACCTCACGAACACGCCTCAAAGCCATGCTTTCTTCTCCATGCCTGCTACTAGGTCCAGACAACATTTTTGCTGAATTAGCACCCGGGCAGAGGGAATCCCACTTGGGCTCAGGGCTGAGTCCCCTGGCAGGTCTCAGCCTTTGGCTCCTCCAGAGCAGACTGAATACGGTTCTGTCTGCTCAGTTTCAAGGCCAAAGATGCTGCCAGTTGTTGGAAAGTGTGGGAACACTGGCTCTCAGTGACCAAGGAGACACAAACTACAACCCTGGATACCTGAGCACACATTTGGAAATTAGGGGTTGTCATAAAATAAACTTAGATTTATCAATCCCAAATCAATCAGTCTTGTCATTGTCCTAATTCATGCTAATTAGGCATAAATTGGAAGCAACTTGCATAAATGGCTAAGGTTAGAATGAATTTTACCCAAAGTGAATTTTTACCTTTTCTTTTCTTACTCTGTTGACCCATAGCATCTCAGCGAGCACCAGAGAATAGGTCCCCCTGATAGCACAGGGATAAAATGAGAAGATCTCACATTTCTAAAGAGGTTTACAGCGTCATGTCATTTAGAGTTGTCATGTCATTTATGATGTACCATTCAATTATCATCTTCACACTTACGTAAATAGGCAAAGGCTGGCTCCTGGTTCCATCACCCTCTCCCGGGGCCTCCTCTGCACCCACCCTTCCCTTGCACCTTCCTGAGAACAGGCTGCGTGGAGCACACACTTCTGACTCCAACCTGGCACCTGGCGGCTCTGAGAGACCATGGCTGCCTGCCTAGACAGGGAAGGTCAGGAGAGGTGGCAGCCATGCTGTGAGAAGTTGTCCTGGGTCCCATGTCTGACCTTCACCGGCTTGGGACGGGAGTTCATTTTAAAAGAAGACAGCGAGGGAATTGGAGAGCCCAGGCACCTGGCTTTTGATCCTTCTTCCAACCAGGTGTCTTTAAGGGGACACCTTGTCTGTCTGTGGGTTAATTTTTGACATCAGGGGAAAGCAGCAGCCCTAACAGGCCCCTCTGACCTAAGTCAAAGTAAAGCCCCTGCACAGAAATTCCTTTCATGGAACAAGCATTCCTTTCCCCAAGGTAGAAGAGGAGCCGTGCAGGGTGAGCTTTTGTCAAATCCTGAAAGGGGCTGTTGACTCCTTCCCTGTGGAGAGAAGTCAGCAGGTCGTCCCCACACTCTGAAGCCTGCAGGACACCATGGCTCCTCCCAGCAGGGCCTGGGGTCTGCTTAAAGAACACCCAGCAGCAGCTTTAGGGGCCAGGAACTGCAGGGGGTAGAGGGGAGCTGAGCGCAGCCACCAGTCCATTGTGGCACTGCCTCCCTTCCTGCCACCCACAGCCCAGGCCTGAGGAAACCCCAGGGCGCCAGGTTTGGAGAGACAAAACTCCCGAGGCCTGACCAGGCTCCGCCTAGAGTGGGCTGGTCTGAGGCTGGCTCTGCGGCTCCTAGGAGACCAGGGCAGTAAAGCCACCTTCTGCAAACACTCCACCCAGTCTCTTTCCCTCTTAAAGGCTCCGTCTTAAAGGCTGGGGAACAGGAAGCAGGCAGGTGTTTTGCTGCCCTGAAGCAGTCTTATAATTACAGTACCAATAATTTCCCATCCATGGGAGAAGGACATTTCTCCATCCACCTGCCAGGCAGAGAAGAAAGCCTGACCTGCTGTAGTTTGTCCCCACGTGGGTCCGGGAGCCTAGTGATGATGGCAGAACTGAGAAGGAAATAATGGCAAGGTCTGATCACTAGAGCTCAGCTGAAATGGGGCCCATCTGGATAATTCAATAAACACCCAACAGGACAGGAGGTTGAATGAAGCCTTTTTCCCAACCCTGCCAGGTGCCGTTTACAAGCTTAAAGGAAATAGCAGACACACAACGGTACACCCAGCTAAGTGGTTGTAATTGCATTCAGGGCCAAATGGCCACAGCCATTAGCAGCTCTTCAGTGAACTCTCCTTAAGTCAGCAATTTCAAAGCCCAGACATATGAACAGAGTGCATGCTTCCCTTCCCAGGGAAGGGAGGGCATGATAAATCAAGAACGGGAGGAAGGAGACTGGGAGAAAAGTACTGAATGTCTGGCTTGGGCGCCAAGAACAAGAGACCCACAGGCCATATTTGCAGATTAGGTGGCCTCAGCGCTCTCCAGTCTCCTCCCTCTCCTGTTGCCTCCCTGCACGCCTGCAATTCTTCCCCATAACCTGCCCCCATGGCAGGTGGAGGGGGGCACTTGGGAGAGAGGGAGGAAAGAAGCCGTGTGGGCTTCAGGACGCCAGACCTGGGCTTGCATCCCTGAAGAAACACTTAGTAGCTGTGAGACTGATCAAACTAACCTCTGAAGCCTGTTTTTTTCCATCTCAGAATGGGGATTAGAACCCCTTCCCCCAGCTGCTGTGAGGGCTCAGGAGACCCTGTCTGTGATGAGGGTCACCCCACAAAGATGCTCAGCACACGCGAACAGGCCTTTTCTTTCCCGTGCCCTGCTTGCCTGACGCCAAGTCAAGGGCGATGTGCTGATTTCGTGTGGGTGTGTGTTTATGAAAAAAACCCACTAGACAATTTT